TGTTTTGTCGTCAGCAAAAGGTTGATTTTATTAACCGGGCTTAATTGCTTCATAAAAGCTTAGTGCTTTATATTTTTCAACAGCCTACAGGGACAACGCAAAGTGGGTGGAAAACGCCCAGTTGACCTAGTTTTTGTCTCCGTCTTTTACCTTTCTTTTACCTTTTCTCCTAGTTAAATAATTTTCCTGGCCACGAAACGAGAGACCAAGATGTTCAAGGCAAGTGACACTCGAGAACTGAGCATTTCTTAATTTTACATAGTCTACTGGGTAGGGGGCGCGAAAGGATTATGGGCGTGGTAAGGAAAAAATAAAAGAAGAGCAATTGAAGGCGATTGAGAGTGTCCGGCACGTAATCCGCATCCTGGGATCAGGTGAACAACATCTCGCCGAGTGGCATGCCACGCACGTAGCCTGCGATGTGGCAAGGATAAGGTTCCTCCACGTCGTGTTATTGTTATGCCGGTCTGGATGTTTTCCCTGGCTCAACAATCTGCTTCTGATGGCCAAAGGATATCAGCTAGCAGGATAATGCGTCTGGCATGTTAAGCAATGGCAGCTCCTGTACATTGATTAGCCTGAATGCTTTCCAGCAATTCAATAGAGAACCATTTAGTAGCCCCCTCGAAACTTGACTGCCTTTTGTCTTTCAACTACTTAGCATAATAGAAAAATTTGTATAAATTCAGCGCCCTTAAGGAATGTAATAAGTTTAACGTTTCTTATATAAATATTAATATCTCAATTTCATAAAATGCCTTCATTGTAACTTTCCCAAGGATAATAGCTCACTGACTTGGTCATTTCCTGCGGGCGTCTAATTCGGGTGACTAAACAGTTCCCATTCAAGAAACTTTCCCCCTGCGAATCCTTTTATGAAAAGATGTTAAGCATTATGCCTGGAAGGTGACTGCGGACTCAATTGCAACTCAAAATAAACTGCCCGTCATGGGGCGGGCAAAGTTGGCTACGCTTTCAGCTGATTAAGAACAAATTTGATATAAATAAGTGGTGAAAACAACTCGGCACAATTTAACGCTTTGTTGCGGTCAAGTAACTTTAGAATTCCACTGAATGAGCAGGGCCGTAGCTAGCAAAAAAAAGAAAATGTAAGAAAAAAAGTAAATGAAAACAAGTGCAGAGTAATGAAAGAAAAAGCATGAAGACGCGTCGACATGAAAGGGAATTCTTCAGCGTGTTTTTAAGCCGATTTGATTCTGCGGTGAGTGGAACCACAAAATGCTATAACAATTTTCAAGCTAATTCCTTTTTTTTGCGCTCTTCTTCTCTGTTTATAGTACAGTTTTGGCCATATCGTACCAACCATACCAATGGCATTTTGATTAACTCGATGATGATGAGGCAGCCGAAGATGAGGATAATGACCTTGGGATGCCATCAGTTTTCCTTCTGGGCAGCTGGCAAGCTTGGCTACATCTTCAACTTTATCCTAGCTTGTGCCCCCACAGTGCCATCACCGATCTCCTTGCTCTTGCGGTTAGATGGCCAACTTAATAAGCAAGATATCCTCAAACTGAAGGTGGCTGAGAAAGCGGTTTCCGGCTCACTGCGCTTTTGGTAAAGCCCCAAGCCAAGTTAATGCCAATATTTTACTCAACTTCTCGGGCCTTTAAGCGAAAGCCACTTAGGATTAGTGCTGCTACACTTTTACACTGATTACTATGACGAGTGACTTAATATTCTGAAAGGAAAGTGGAAGCTAAAATAAGAGTGCTTTGAAAATGACTACTCTGCCTGACCATTAAAAATTGTTTTAAATATTTGTTTTCTTGAAAGTCCACTCTATCAACTTCCAAATTTTCCATTCGAATTCAGAGCCCACTAAAGTCTAATCCAGATTTCGTAACCGCCGTCATCTTTGACAGCTCATTAAAGCCAACTGCTATTACTTGGACCTCTTAGAGCTGGGCCAACATGCAGGCAACTTTCACAACGCACTCCGGGTGGCAGGTGAATCAGTCAAAATCGATCGTGCCACCAATAACTGACCGATGGCCTGTTTGATTGATTGATTGACTGAAGGCACGCGCTGTAATTGGCGACGTGTTTGCCCCGCCGAGATTTACACGTTTTTTCGGACTATTTATATCAACGCTAATTTTTATTACCAGTTTTTTTTCTTCTGACCACATCAGCTTCCGCCGTTAGTTAGTGGAACTTGGGGCCTTTAATGAGCTGGCATTTGAATTTCATTTTGGGGTTGAAGCGCTTGATTTATGCTCGTACAGCGCGAACCCGCATTGAAATGGAAATCGAAATTGTGGGACTCTAATTCCGTTTCAGTTGTTTTGGCGGAACCTTGAAAAATCTAACAAACGCAACGAACTGTGATGGGATCTCTGTTGATCTCATTTATTCTGGGTGTCAGTTAAATAAATTCACGTTAACTGGTGCATTGGGAGTTGTGTGAGCTTGGGAACCTAGCCAAAACGGCGTCATGCTCACCTTGGGGAGCTATTTAAAGCTCGAAGAGAACAGTATCAGGATCTGATTATTTATGTTTTCCCTGAGTGACCAGCTATATGGAAATCTAATGCTACTTTTTTAAGTCATTTGGTATTCACTTTTATTGCATATTTCTGCCCTGCCTCGAAAGGTTATGCAAATCAAGATGTCATTCGTTTGCTTTGAAAAGCGCTTGAAAAGCGGTACCTGCATATTAAAAATGTCATCGGGAAGTTGAATACGAGAATTAGTTCATCTTGGAGAAAGGGAAATTTAGTCATCTACCTGGGGATTCGCCTTCAAGGACACGTGCAAGGTCAGTTGGGGGTGGGTGGTTGGCTCACTGGCAGGTTGCAGAATCGTTAGGCAGATAAAGAGCCATGAAAAATAGTCGAGCACGAGCCAACACGGAAACAAATAAAAATCAACAGGATTAAATATGCAGCTCTACGTGGCCCTGTCTTTTTCTATGCTCTCTCTGCCAGGGCTATAGCCTTGTGCACCGCCTTGAATGTGGAGTCTGCGGCCAATCTGTTACATTTTGTCATGGCTTCCATGCAGCCCATCCCCCCGTAGCCCATTCCCACCAAAAAACCCAGCCTCTTCCCCCTCTCATCTCGAGTGTCCTTCGCACGTTTTACCTTCAGCTGGGACACTGGGCCGTAAATGCGACTGCCTCTGCTGTTTTTACACTCTCTGAAGTGGATTCAACAAGTTTGAGTGTGCGAGGTCGAGATTCGACTCGAAAATACCTTGTATTTAACACCTAACAGGTATCATTTGTACTCATCAAAGGGAACTCCTAAGAAATATTAACACTTATGTAAGCTTAAAGAAAATTTCATTAAATGTTAAAAATGCTTAAAATAAAATATTTCTAAATTTTCTTTTTAGGAATTTCTTATAATGGATTAAACTTTTAAGACTCCAATAATTTTTTTGTATCTTTGTTACCCTATTAAGAAGCAATATCTTGTCCTGTCCAAAATTCCTATGGTTTTTACATAGTACATCAAGTGCTTTTAGGTTTTCCCGCGGACATCTGCCTCTTCTCGGGCAGATTTAAAAATTTATTTGCCACGTTTGTGTCGGAAGCGGATGGTGCGAGTTTCGCGCCACCAGACACCAAATGAGTTGGCACGGCCTCCACCGTGTCGTTTCCATTCTAAGTAAGCCAGATTGGGTGGTAAGAAGGAGCTCGTTTCAGCTCTAGAATCCCATGAAAAATTTAAACTTTTACAATTAAAGAGAGGAACGAATGGATGGGAACTTCGGGCAGCTGCAACATGTGGTCCTTCAGCTCTTGGCTTTGGATTGGCAGCGTTTCCTGCGCATTAATTCAATTTTATCCACATGCTACACATTTCGAAATCGAAAATAGAACGTTTGCTAGCTGCTCGACTTGCATAATTCAAACGTTTTGCCCATCCCTCTGTACATTTGGCCCCCACGTTTTGCTAACCAAATTGAAACCAATGTTCGCCACGTGGCAAGGTTGAAAGACCAAGACCCAAAAACGTAACAGTTTTGCACTCTGCTGTGCTACATAAGTGAATTATCCGATCTGCGCTTTTACTTGCGTACCACATGACGTATGAGTGATAAAAAGAGGGGAACGAAAAGCAAATTGCATTTGCTGAATGGCAACATTGGGTAAATTGAAAATGTTGCTACCCAGAGAAAGTTCGTTAAATGAGTCCAATGTAGGAGTTAGGTTGGCAATTATTAATAAATAATTGAACAAAGGAAGGGGAAATATTTTGAAACTTTACCTAAATTAATTAAATCAATATTGGCTTAGAAGCCCTTAGGCCAATTCCTTTGCCATAAGTTTACCCTTGTCTCTGTCATGCCAATCAATTCAGGCATCCTTCAGTGGTCATTGAAAATTTCCCAATCAGATTTCCTGACCATCACTTGGTCACTTGGATGCACAATGCTCCGGCAATTACCTGGACATTCGAAGCGTATGACGAGAGGCAATCCCTATATCGAAAATTCCATTGTTTAGTTTCCATTTGTCCTATTACGTCAAGGACATTGCTCAATCTTTGCCGCAGGCCACAAAAGACCAGAGATGATAGTAGGACAATGCATAAAGCTCATCATTTAATGTCATTTTGCCACAATGCAAGGATTAGGACAACCTTTTTGAGCCTTCTGAGCTTCCTTAAATCCGTACATGCTAAGCAGTAATTGTTTTAAATTCATTTTGGGCGGCGGCCTTGGGGGTGTTTAGAGCTGTGGGCGCGGTTACGGGCAATTTAACACCTTGGCTGCGCATTAATTTAACGGAAAACCAAACCACAGCGGCAACCATTTCGAATATCAATCATACGGCCCGTTGGCCAACTGCAGAAATCGTTCAACATGGCTGAACTCTGACCTGCCAGCCTGTGGCTTATTCCCGGTTTTACCCATCCGCATCCCGCATCCCGCATCGCCATCCCATTTCCGACCCTGATGCTGACAGCATAATTTACAGTTTTCAGCGGATTAATCGGAAAATGTGCAAAATGCTCTCGGCTACTTACAATTTCAATTTACTTTCAGTTAGTCCTCGCCAAGGGAGTGAGAGTCCTGCAAGCAGACGAACCAGAATTTACATAAATTTAATAAAAAACGAATTAAATTGTGTCAAACCCCGGCCCTGCGGGCTGATGTCAGAAAATATCGTCAAAGGCATTGTCAAAAGTGTATATATACGAGTATATAGCTTAATGAAAATGTGGGTTAACAATACTGAAACTGAGAGAACGTGAAACGTCTGAAATGTGCTATTATGGGAGGAAAAGTGCTTAAATAGTTGGCAAAAATTTAAATCAAATAAGTTTCCCAAGCGGAAGGTTGCCTCAGCTGTAGTTGTTCCAACATCAATTGCAGCTACACCCATTTCCGGAAAAATCAGCTAAGCTCCTGCGGAAGCAGGATAGTTGTCGTAGTCACAGAGGTCGGACTTTGCACAAATATTAGTTATGTTTGTGGTTGGCCAGGAAACGCACCTTTTTAGCCAAGTTGCCACAAAAGAACACACTCTGGCCATAAATCACAAAACCCACACTGCTTTGGCCAGGACTTTGCTTTGGCTTTGGCTTTCGGCATTGTTGTGACAGCTGGTTTTTCCTCTACAGCAGGAGCCCGCCCTTCAACACCTTCCTGGTGTCCTTTCCCTGGATCCTGGCAAAAATCCAGCCATGCAAATTATATTTAGCCTTTTGTGTGAATGCATTGAATCGCAGAAGACTAGCATATATTTTTGATTGTCCGCCTCTCGGACCATTTGACTTGATTATTTTATTTAGATTGCCGTCCTTTGTTTTGCGGGCACTGTTTAGTATTCTGAGCCAAAAAGAATATGCTCTCTGGTTTCGCTTAGGCGTGTATAAGGCTTTACTAGCAAATTATTCCTAGCACTTTGTTGATTTAATCTGAATATTTTCCCAGACTGGCAAAACAAAAGCCGCTTTTAGTCTTGAACTCGACTAAAACGCCAGAAGGCTTATGAAGGAGCAGACAGGATGCTATGATTTATTCCAAGGCTCCCCAAAGAGTTGAGCTGGGAAAAGGCTGTGATTTATAGAAGCGAGACCCCGAGGCGTCTGCTTACACAATCCAAATATTACCAGGACAACAAATGAATGTCAATAAAGCCAATTCTGCGGTCTAATCATATTTGAAACAGGATACGTATAACAAACTAAACAATCAGGATGCAGTCAGCTTCCTCAGCCCCAGCGGTTATTCAAGACTTTGTCGTCTTACGACTGACAAATTGCACAACATTGCCACGCCGCTAGTGTTCGTTTTTGGGGGAGGATGGGATGTATGGGATTGGCTAAAGCAATTTCGTTAGCCACTTGTCTTCTTCGAGGGACTCGAGGACTTGCCCAAAAGTTTTGTGTCTTTTGTTGATTCGGCTTGTGGGACAAGTTTTTGTTACGCTCCCGGACTAAAGGCATGCAAATGCAAATGCAATGTGGGGGAAATGGCGACAGGACGAGGGACGTGATAAATATCGAGAACAAAAAGCCACCGAACTCGTAAGAGTGCCATCGACCGAATGCACACTTTATTGTGCAACACTATTCCCCTTTCTTTTCAATTTCACTCTTTCTGTCACCCTTTCCGAGATTTTCAACCAGATGAAAGGAGGGTTGCATGATTGCAGGTCCAAGAGGGTGAATCGAATGACCTAAAGAGCTCGTTTCTTGTATAGCTCTCTGATTAAAAATTGTATTTAAATACCAATGAAAGAAGCAATTAAAGTATCTTAAGTCTTCTCATCTTTTTTATATATTTAGTTCAAGCTTTAATATAGTATAATATCTCAAGTAAGGTATTTTGTATTCCATGGCTCACTCGTTGCTTTCCCTAGATTGGAAACAAAAGACGAGCCAGCAAGGACAGTGCCAGCCTGCGGGCTTTCGAGGGTTAACGCTGATGAAGCGAGGCTGTTGCATTGATGCATTGACTAAGAAGGCATTGGGGTGGCGGTCGTTTGAATGGCAAGGTCATCCCAGAAGCCCCACAAAACCCCCAATGCGAAAGTAAAACAAAGTAATGGAAATACCACAACACAAGCTGCATAACAAAATAGGTAATGTGTAGAACAAATAATTCGGGACAGCCCCAAAACAAACCTTCTAACAACACGGCGTATACACAACGTGTTTTATGTTTCTGTTTTTCCGCCCCCAAATCTATTCGACAATTGAAGGCAAATAAGTCAGTCTCCTACTCCTAATTCCGCGAAGAAAACTTTTCCAGACATCCAAGGAAAAAGTCTATTATAATGCCTAAACGATCTTATTTATTGTTGGAATACATTTTATTTTTTGAAAGTTTCCGCTTAAGCATATAACACAATTCTCAGAGGAAAATAACTAAAGAAAATATTTGTTTTTCCTCTCCTTATTCTGAGAAATAAAATGAATGCGCCCATTAGGTTGTGCAAACAAGCAGGTAGAGAAGTGGAAAAAATGCTCAACTTTTGGTATGTGTAACAATTTTGTCTGCCTGTCGTGTGAATTGAGATGGCAAACAGTGGCCACCATTGTTCGCATAAATTATGCACTTGTCATTCTCATGGTATAGATTCCAGGTCTCGCTGCTTGGTGTTGTTTGCCAATGTTTTGTTTCTTTTGGCTGTGTGAACTGTGGATGCTCATCTGGGAAAACTTTGCCAAAAACTTACCTAACTATGGGTATTTGGGAGGGTTGCTTTTGAGACATACTATCCTGGTACTTGCTGTACTTTATATATTTTGCATTACTTTTTATGACACTATATATAAACTATTGTCTACCCTACTACCCTACTTTACTATCAGCAGTTTCAGCATACGCATTATATGCAAAATTTAAAAGTTACAAAGTTTCGATGTCATACTTTTTCTCAGGGAAAAAACTGCCACAAAGGCTGAAAGTTTTCTTTGATGCAGTTTTTAATTTATTTCGGGAGAGCATACAATTTTTAATATATTCCCCCTTTAATACTCTTCCATAAAATACCCATTTTATCACGGTAAACTTTCCCATCTCGGGCCAATTAAAGCGCCTCTGCTGCTCTGGTCATCATCATCATCATCATCATTTTCATTAAGCAACAACTATTCGGTGATTTTACGGTGTGCATGGCAGGACCCCACGAAACCTATTAACAAGGCTGACCAACAAGCTTCACTTACAAGGACTCAAAAAAAAGGAGAGTGTGAGAGAGAGGCAGAGAGGCAGAGGAAGGACGTGGAATGCGGGGAACAGGAATTCCTGTGTAGCAATCAGCAGATTGTGTGACAGTCTGCCATTCATTTCCCTATTTATTCAACAAGTTCCGCTGCTGGGGCCCCAAAACTAAGGACAGGATTCGTCCTGACAGACCAAGGACTTGTAGCTGGGGCCGGAGTCCTGCGGCTGTTTTATACGCTTATAATCACATATTTCAGCTTTCTCTTACTCTCTCTCTCTCTCGGAGTTTGGGGCATCGATTTGTTTGGCATTTGTAGGAATGCCTCAAGGATACGCCAGGCGACTTGTGATCCCTTATTTTAGTGGCATTTATTTGAGTCACACGTTATTCACGAGTCTGTGTGCGGCTAGCGGAGGTCCCGTAGAAGTCCTGTGAGCCCGTAAGTGCGTGTTTATTTGCTAAGGAAGGCCCTTACTGGGCCAGTGTGTGTGTGTGCTTTTGGGTCTGGCTTAAAGGTATTTGCCGTTGCGGCACGTTATCGAAGGCTTGCAGACCATGGAATTCCTGGCATCCTCGTAATTGGGGCAAGGGTTTTCGGCAACTTGTGTGTGTTGGTGTGCTGATGGCAGTGTGTGTGTGTGTGTGTGTGCCGGTGTGTATATGACAAACTCATTTCATATTTATTAAATTTGCTGCGCTCGGGTTTTATTTTCATCTGGCACGTACCGAAAGTAAAATAAACATCGTGCCAAGTGTGGCTTTGTGTTTTTTCTACTTATTTTTGATACACTTCCTGGCAGCGCGTAAGAATTTTCCTTGCAATCGTAAGAAGTACTTTTCCACCTCGGCATTGTTTTAATTTAGAGGAAAATTCGTATTCCAGAGGCAGAGAGGGGAACCGTCATATTTTTACATGTTCTGTAACTTTATAGCCAGTGGATTCCCCTTGGCCTTAACTTCGCCTCTCTGCCTTCTTCTGCGGCTTAAAATGCATGAATATGTAAAGTGCGGCCATAACTTCGTGCCACGCCCACCACAGTGGAAACTATGTAATTAAAAAGTTTAGCAAAGAGATTGCCGAGCCAAAAAAAAAAACAAAATAAAAAAATGAGAGGGAAATATCTGGTTTGCATATTTCTGCGTCAGCCAGAAATAATAATTAAAAACAAACCAAGAGAGCGGTTGGCCAGGAATAACGACTGTTATTAAACCAATTTATTGTTGGTTCACATTGGTTTATTTCCCACCCGGGGCTGTTAGCCAAATGCGTAAGCCAAAAGAGACAAACAAGCGGCCGGAGTCTGTTAATTTGATTCAATCGATTCGAGCACATAAATAGTTTTCAATATGAATATGAATTGAATTGTTTTGTGAATTGCTAAATGGCTCAATGAGTGGCTTCTTCCCAGGCAGATCAAGTCGCAGACGCAGTTCTGGTCTTGGCTTTTGCCTCTTTTTTTGAGTTTTGGTCTTGGCCGCCTGTGAACTTTGCGGCCAGCTTATTGTTGTTGGTTTTTAGGGGGGCAGCTGCTTTGGCTTATTATTTTGGTTGTTTTGCGGTCAGTTCATTCAACTCGCAATTGCTTCTCCTCTTTTCTTCTTTTTCCTTTTGGTCAGAACGAGACTAGACTGGGCTTACAAAAGAGCAGTTTTCGGGAAAAGCAGCCTTTTCATCGTTTCGTAAACCCATTCATTGTTTTTTATGCAATATTTGCTTAAAGTTACAAAAGCTTTTTCAATTTATTGCGTATCAACAGGCCGGCTGGCCATAAATCAAACTTTTGTAACATTTCCGCTATATTTTGCCATAAAGAATATTCTTGGTAAATGTGTCAACAGGGTTTATACTAGCAGGAAATATTTGCATTCGAATAAACACTAAAGCTGAAGCTCG